CATACATACAAACTTAATTATTGTTCGTCGATTTTCTATCTATGGCATGAAGCATCACAAATAGAACTTAGGTACGAAAAAATATGTAGAACGTTCGGATGGAATTTAAATATCTCTAAAATATAAATAAAATAATATATTTTTACTTGCTTAAGTTTTTCTTTTTAGATTTAAAATTATGTTGTAATGAAATTACCGTTTATGGTTTTATTTATTCTGGTTGCTACGTGCAAAAAATAGAAATGTGTAATTCCATTAAAAAAATATAATTAATTTAAATAAGTTCGTATGAAAATGATATTAATGGAGAAGAGTATCATATTTTTTTTCTCTGCAAAAAATAATATTAAGCACTGAAAAGGTCCAAGCTTGACCGTTTCTATTACTTGTGTTATTTAAAAATTTGGTAATATATCTCTTTGAAAATATAAGAAGGTACAATTAACAGCGACTACAAAATCGTAATTAAGTGAATCGCCGAAGCCGAATTAAACAAATTAATTAAGCAAAGTTATCCGAGATTGGGACAGCTTCCATGGCTCATTATGTCGAAGAGTCTTACTTGGCTGCCGCGGGCTATCGAAGCGGAGAGAATACCAAATTAGCGTTAAGCGTTAATTTTCGCTTCGGCTTTTTGTCCGGGGCTTTAGATCACGTCTTGACTTTATCGAAACTCCGAATCTGGGATTTCCCGAGGCGGGCGTTGACTCTTGGCTCTCGTTTCCTGACCGTCAACGAACAATTCTCGAACATCAGCTTGTCGAGTCTGGACAAGTGTCTCGGGGACTGTCGTCGTTGCTTGCGGGATTTCAACGGGATCCTGTCGCGCAACTGCGACCGGTTCCTCAAGAGCAGCTGCTCGCTCGTCCAGATGTTTATTTCCGGATGCGTGACGCGCTATGTCGTCGGGATTTTCGGGCAAATCTGGGGCCACGTCAACGCCTGATAAAACTGTCGTTTCGCTAATCTTTTTCGTTTCGGTACTCCCTCCTTGTTTATGTGGGTTCCCTAATCACGCGGTAAAATACTAGTTGTACGCTCTGGGATCGTGTGAAATAATATTTTTCTATCGATAGGTATTTGATTCGAGGTGTCACCAAATCGGAATAAGCTGTACCTGCGGTGCGTTCGGCCTCGAGCAATCTGGCCTTTAGAAACGCATCTCTTTTGCAATTGTTCTCTTTGGTGCATCCAATAATAGGCATCGTTTACTGAATTAATTATAAAATATATTTTCTAAAGCAACAAGATATTTCCAGAATAATGAGCATGTGTCGAGAAAATCTAAGACGGCCATTTGAAAATACTAATCTTTATAAAATTTACTTTTGTACTCTCGTAATTATACTGTATATATAAATATCAAATATTGTATTTTACTCACAAATTTAGAGTTTATTTAAGGAGAATAAAATTGCAGCTATTTATTATCCTGAGACAGTGTTTCTTTCTAAAAGAATTTACATCGGTTAAATCTTTCTATTTGTTATATGCTATTGATCAATAAATTATTAATTATTAAACCTGATCGTTTTTACAAAAGTTCTCTTTTGTGGTCTCTTTTAAACTTGTCGATTCTTCGACGTTTCTACAGTTTTTACGATAATCGCAGCCTTTGGGTAGCTGTTTGACAGCCTTTGATTGAAAGTGAAAGTAAATGAGTAAGTAACAAAAGTAATAAAAGTAACGTAGTGAAATATCTACGCGTTAAGGCCGAATCAGACTAGCAATTGCCGATTCGGATTGAATCAAGATTGGCTTCTGACGATTGTTCTCCAGCTAGTGAGAGTCGATTAAATCTTATCACTGCTGGCTTTGCTAATCTGCTTCGGTCTTTACGTATCTTTTCAGTGTAAATATATTTAAGTTAAGCCGTAGTATTCTCTCTCAGGAGATTTAGCTGAGCTTATGAAAACAGAAAGGATAATGAAACTCTAATCTGTAATAATAGAATAAAGCAGAATTTGGGCAAGTTACAACTTGTATTCCACATATTCTATTAACTTTTAGAATATACATTATATATATGATACTTATATTATTATAATGCGAGTTGAAAACAAGAATAGAATATATTCTAACCTACTATAGGTTGTAGATAATCTATGTAATTAAATAACTTTTAATAATTGAGAATAAAAGGAGGATATCCGAGATAGTTGACGTGTAAAATGGCGATTTAAGATCCAAGTAATTTAGGGAGAAAATAGAAAAGGGGAGACTAGATAGAAAGGTATGCTATTGTCGAGCTAGGAAGACTTCGATTAAGCGTCAGGGAAATCAGTTGCGCGTTTCTTTATCCCGCCCAAGTGAAAGAGGATTGTCACGGGGAGAGATTTCGGTCGTTACGCACGATTAATGTCGGATCTTCAGTCAAGACGGAATTGCGGCAGCTAGGATCGCAAGCAAAACTCTCGAGTACGTCCTTAGTGTGTACTTCGGACGAGACGGGCTCCGACGCAGGTGAGGGTCCTCCGGCCGTTTCACGGTTCGTCTCTTTCCGTTCCGTCATCCCGAATGCGCGATTTTTATCCTAAAAACGGCCCCGGCGCCTTCAAATCCGACAACCTCCTTTGCGGAAAGATCGAAAAGTTTCGAGGAGGTCGCGCGCGCACACTTCACGTTTCATCCGTGATAAAAACGGATGTGCGGAAGAATATTTCAAACGGAAGCTCCGCACATACTGACAGCCACACGTGACGGCGACCTTTACGCTTTAATTCTTAAAGCAACGTACGAGAGTTGTACTTACTTAAGAATTGATTGTGGATCAAATTCGACAAACGATATATGGTAGGAAGCAGATAATTCATGTGACTATTGATATAATTTTCCACGTTAATAATTTTGAATTGTGCCTCGAAAGAAAAATGTAATAAATTTTGGGAGACTGAACCTTTCACGATCTCGACGTTTCTCTTTTGATTAAAAGTTTTTGTTTTCCGTGAATCACGGCAAATTTCAGTTAGATATTTTACAGATATACGGTGACTCGCATTCTCGACGACGTGCTTTCTCGACGACTATAATTTTCCGATTTTGAAAGTTATTAATCTAATATGAATACGGCATTCAATTTAAACATGAGATATAAATTAGTGTGCGACATTTAATGCTAATTGTGTGGACAGACTGCGCGTTAGTCTATGGAGAGATTCCATCGAAACGTTGCGTTGCTGCAATTTGTATAATGAATGAACTGCGAACTTTCTGCTTTCGTGTCGTATAATAGAAAGTGGGGTTACTGTAATCTCACTCCATTCATTAATTAATGCGATTTGATTTGCATTTGCGTTCGCGAATGTTCAAAGTTAACGATTTGCAGCTTTGTGCACATAGGATGTAATCAATCGAAGCCACGGCGCAATGCTGCAATGATCGTAACTGCCATCGGCCAATGTAAAATACACGCCCATCCATTGCGCGACCGCAATCGATTAATCGTTAATTAATTAACTATTACCATTTCGGCCACTCGAACAGAATAGTGCGTGAGATAACCGTCACGGCTTTGCGCCTGCAAACGGAATTCGCGACCGGCAGTTTTTCTAAATTTCGGTCAAATTTAACATTAACAAACGCAGCGTTAATTCGTCTACAAGAATATCGTTATTACGGTTATATGATTAATTTCGCCGATTAACTTTGATTAACAGCGTATCTCTAACGGTAAAACAAGATACATAATTATTATGCAAATTCCGACAATGAGGCGGAATGCACACGGGGATGAATTTAACGTTACTTCCATTACGATTGAGCGTACAACTCAAAAGCCAGCACGGGTCACTTGCTCGCGCAGCGCGCATCAATTATATTTAAAATATTAATAATCGCTCGCTTTATTACAATTAGTAAATTATACTTCAGAGAAATTATATCTCGTTACAGAAATAATAGCGGGTCTTGTAATCGTTCCCGTAAGAAAAGGTCACGTAGTACGTTGCCGTTGATGAAATTGCACACTGTACAATATCCAGCTTTTATTTTAACAAGTTAGAGCAATTAATGCCTTATCTCATTTATAAATATATTTCCTGGAAATCATTTTACAATGGAAATTACGCTGTTACGTTTTATGAACCGTGCCGTTCTTTCATTAACCGTACGTAGGACGGTTGTTCTCCATCAAAGAAAAGGTTAATGTACCGATTCATTTAACTGAAAGCTCTGCAAATGACGATATTCCCTCCGCGCGGTCTCGTTAATATTATTAAAAAAAAGAGAGAGAGAGATAATAAAAAATTGTCACTAAGCTGTTATACAAAGCAATTTACATAAATCGGTGTTTACTAGACCCCTAGAAATATGCGTTAAATTAAAGCTTATTTAACGGATTAAAAAAAACACACAATTATCGCTCAAACGATGACGGAGGATCCAATTATTACTGTTAAGAAAAAAAGTGATAACAGAATCCATCAGTCAATTCTCGCGCGTTAGTTTGGCTCGAGTGCAATTTCGCGCACCTGCCCGTTCGTGATTTTCTTGCGGCGATAAACGAGAATAATATCGATCGCGTCGATCACTGCTAAGCGGGCGGCGTTTTTGACTGACAGAAAACGCCGTTGCGTTTATATAATTCGGGCAAAGTGCCGGGCCGCCATGGAACGAAACGCACGGGACCAAAGCGAGCGTACGAAAATCCGATAGAGAGTTAACGTGCACGAGGAGTTTTAACGTCGTTTTCCGGCCGGCCGCATCAACCCGCGATTAACGTACCGCGCAATTTCGAGCAACGCATTACCCTTAAGTACGCGCACGCGGTACTCTTCCGGCGACGACGTTTGCGCGATTTTAACGAAATTAACGCATCGACATTACCGTTGGGACTGCGCGAACGAACGAACAAGCTGCTCGTCATTTAAGCGGCACTTGCCGCTCCGCTAAGGATATTTCAAGGGTCTGTAGCACGCGGCACCGCTAACGTAACAGAGACAATTGGATGAGGGTGCTGAAACGTACAGTATTTGCATTTTCCTACTGACGCAATTTAGAGACTTTTTGCGATAGATAATATTTTTTAACAAATTAGTATGGCTCATGTGTGTTAAACACAAATTTCAAGAATTGAAGGACTCGGAGCCACGACAGGGTGGTAGTGTCTAAATACTAGTGATGAAAAATAGAGGTGATACTCTGTCGCAATAAACTTGGAACAAAATATTCAGACACTACCACCCTGTCACGGCTCTGAGTCCTTTATTTCTTGAAATATTTTTTAAATAACATTACCACGTCCCACTGCAAAATCTAAACCCACGCATGGCTGCATTCGCCGGTACTTAAAATTATACGTTCTCGTTTAATCGCGTAATTCACGGGGGCGCTCCATAATAAGATCGATAAACGTACTCCACGAACGGGAATGCATAGCCTATCAATGTTTGGCCGCTGACTATGTGAGCGTGGGTAACTATGTATCGAAGGAGTTAATGAGGATGCAGAGCCCGTGGCCCGCACAAAGGAATATTCATAAGCAGAACGTTGTATCACGGTCATGCAATAAATGTAGAATTATCGGGCGACACGGCGCCGGGCCGCAAACGCAGCGGCCACGGTGTTTAGGACGTGCCGCAAATGCGGAGACACCATTTGGCGGCGGGGCGATATCCCCGCCGCCGCATCTCAGGCCCGATTACCGTAAAGGGTTAACTTCGAGATAATTTTCCGTCTGCGTTGCCGCTGATTACTCCCATGGCAACGGGCGAACAAACGTGCAAACGCACCGCGTTCCCGGCGTTCCCACCCATTGTTCCCGTCCAGCTGTTTCGCGCGATGCGCTGACGCGTTGTCGCTCTCGGGCAGGACTGCTCCAGCGAATCATTTAATCGATATTGTGGATGATTGTTCGACACACAAGAAATATTGCCCTCCGTCCCACGCAATTTCCAAATATCGGTTCGAACGGCTGATTTGACATCGGCGAAATTACTCGTAATTAAGCGAGAATTAAAACAACCACGGCTTCTTAGCACTCCGAGGAGACACTTAGAAGTAACTAGCTTCGTTACGAAGGAGAAAGAAATCGCAAGAAGGAAATTATGACAGATTATAATTCAATTAGTTGCCTCGCTTTGCGTCAAAAAGTCATAAAGGCTCTGTGAGTGTCTGCGCATCTTGACGATCATCTCATTACATTTTAAGTAATAAAATCATTAAAGGGGAACCTCTCGTTTCTCCGATCTTTAAAATCGTGCTTCTACCCCGAGACATCGCGGCCACAACGATGGTTAAATACTTTTTGCAAACGTTACGTGCTTAGCAATTGCAGCGTCGCGCAACAGTCGCCGTAAAGCCGGCGCGAATCCAATAAAGCCGTTGCCATGGTTAGACCATCGGTGGCTTAACG